GGGGCTTGGTCTTAGGACCCTGAGATCATGACCTGAGTTGAAGGCAGAGGCTTAACCCACTGAGCCACCCAGGTGCCCCCAAAATGACTGGCTCCAGTTCTAGATTTTTTGTCTTTTATTTTAATTGTTGTTTTTGTTAAATAGCAAGATACATTTTGTTAAATAGCAAGACTTTTGAAATTAAATATTGATATTTCTTTATCGATCACTTTTTTCCAAAGGGATAAGAATTAACAAGAGGTTACCAGTCACTAAAATAATTACTTTCATTTAAGGGCAGGCAGCATTATCCTTAGAAGACTAATACTATCTTTAAAGACCAATATTTGTCTGTCAAATACACTCATTTTAAATACTATCTTACTGAGGGTAAAAGTCAAACACTTTGTTCACTGTCAAATCTTGGTAATATTCAGTATTTACCTGAAAACTGAATTCTTCATACTTTGGTTAATTATAACATGTTGTGTGCTATCGTAAAGTAGTTATTTTACCATGAAATATTCCAGTGATAAAAGATACATATATCAGATGTATATCTATATATATCAGTAATTAAAACAAAGAATAGAAAGAGGATGAGAAGCACACCCAGTACAAAGTAGGTTGACATCCTTTTGGGTCAAAAATTCTTGCTGTCTTAGAGTCAGATCTAGGCCAACAGAAATAGTAGTAGAAAACTGAATGTCCACAAAAAAAAAAAAAAAAAAAAAAAGAAGAAGAAGCAGAAGAAGAAAGAAAGTAATTCAAGTAATTCTAACATGAGAAGATTGGAAAGATAAATGAGGTGTTTTTTTTTTAATTTTTTAAAAAGATTTTATTTATTTATTTGAGAGAGACAGAGACAGCAAGAGAGGGAACACAAGCTGGGGGAGTGGTGGAGGGGAAGCAGGCTTCCTGCTGAAGAGGGAGCCTGATGCAAGTCTTGATTCCAGGACCCTGGGAACATGACCTGAGCTGAACGAAGTCAGACACTTAGTGACTGAGCCACACGGATGCCAATAAATTAGTTTTTAAAACATTTTATAATCTATGTGCTTAGTATATTCTATGTATTCATACATTTCCTAATAAATACAAGAGAAAGACTGTCACTAAATATAAAAATGCCACGCCAATAAATCTCTTATTTTGGTTTTGATTTTAAGTTCAGAAAAATGTTGATATGCAAAATGTATTTTATCAAATAAAGAAGCTTCTACTGACTTCAGGATATTATTTTAGTTCATGGAGTTCATGGTCTGATATTAAAATTATCTTAGTCATTCTAGCTTATTTTTTTTTTAAGATTTTTATTTATTTTACAGAGATCACAAGTAGGCAGAGAGGCAGGCAGAGAGAGGGGGAAGCAGGCTCCCCGCCGAGCAGAGAGCCCAATGAGGGGCTTGATCTTAGGACCCTGAGATCATGACCTGAGCCGAAGGCAGAGGCTTAACCACTGAGCCACCCAGGTGCCCCTCTAGCTTATTTTTATTATGTGTTGTTATGTTTTTTCTCTGTGATGACGGAGGCGGTCCTATATCAAAAGAAACTGACTGCAACGCTCTGTCTCCTTCACATAGTAGAAGGTCTCCTCTGAGAGATTTAGAATATTCTGCATGTATGGTAATGTCGTATTTTCATGTTGCAATGCCTTTTTAGAACCAGGTAATATCTGCAATGTAGAGATTATGGGATATAGCATTCAAAACACCAAATCAGTAATTTTGCTCTTTGAGAATTTTTTTCCTAAGAAATATTCACTGATCATGATTTTCAAATGCAGTAGATCTGTCATGTTTCTTGAATACAAATTGGGACAGAAATTGAGGGTATCAAACAGTGCTATACACAGAAATTAAATTCCACTAATGAGTGTGAACTTGTGAGAAAATATATAGCTTTTATTGTACATTTTATTAAAATCAGACATTTTAGGAAGATCTGCAATTGTATAATCATTTACTGTAAACCTTATTTAGATTCTTGGAAAACCCAGCCAAGGCCAAAATTTTACTTTTTATTGTTATAATTTCCTGAGAATTTGTATCAGCACTCCCTTTTATTTTTCTAAATAGTTTGAAATAAATATATCTGATGGAATATCAAGACTCTCAAATGGCTAAAATCCGAAAAATATATGTGTCCCAAATCCTTTGTACTTCCCAGTTTCTATGCCCTTCTTCATGTAACTTTGTACTGTCGGTTCACAACAGACAGTGTGACTGGGTCAATCCCTTGATTACAGGATTGGCTAATGGGATTTTAGCAGATACGTTACAGAAGGAGGTGCAATTGGGATCACTCTGGCCCTTCAGGCACTTGACAGATGAGTTCACATCTAGGCTAGTCTGCAGGTCTCCAGAGGAACATGAAAGCCACATGGATTAGAGCAAAGGTGCGCCAGTGTAGACCAGCGAACTCCAGGAACATGAGCATACCCAGTTAAGATCAACAAAAACACTTACGAGCATTCACCTCACATCATGTTGTACTGTGGTCTATAATTTTAATTGTGATAGATGCAACTATATCAGGTATAATTGCCAATAATGTAGATGACAAGGCTATACGTATCATACACATAGTTGAGAAGGACTAAAAATTCTGAATGACAGAATGAAAAGTCAAAATATTGTTAAGTTTGAGAAGTTAACTAGTCAAATAAAGAGTAAAGGTTTTCTTTGAGTGAAGAAACAAACACTGTCGTCATGGCAGAATAAAATACATTCACAAACGTTAAAGGAGAGAACGGTATTAACATAATTCTTGAGAAAAGTTGGAAGCCAAACTGTGAAGTATGCTATAGTTCAAGTTACTGTTTGGCATTTTTCTGGAGAATAGTAAATAGCAAATAGGTGTGGTCTTCCTTTAGGCTAAAAATTCAGAGTAATTATTATGTATTGAGTTGACTATTTTATACTCATTCAAAAGGCTGATCTAGGTTTACTGGTTGAAAACAAAAGGAAGAAGTAGACATTGATTCAATGAGAGACAGTGCGGTAGTTTGGTACACAAATTTTAGAGAATCCTGTTTAAATTTCTGGTGTAACGATTATTATTTTTTGTGACCTTAAGAAAGTCATTTAATCTCTCTAAGCACCATTTCTTAGCTTAAAAACAGGAATAGCAACAGCATCTTTCTGATGAGTTGTCAAATATATAATAAGAGTTCAGTGATTTTTTTTGTACCATAGCCCTAGCCCAAAATAATAAACCTAAAAAAGATACTATGTTCTCCTAAATTTAGAGAACTATAAGTCAGCGCTCCCTCCCAAAGCCAGGTTGAGTGGGACACAAAACCAATTGTAGCAATTTGTAGTAACTACAAAAAGGGGAGGTTGGCTGCCTTGCTGTAGGCTTGTTGAGAAGTAGGAATGCATTAAGCCCAATTTAGTTTTGCTGTCAGAGAAGAATGCTGTGAAATTACTCTTGGAAAAGCTGAAGTGTGACCCTGGTTTCTCACCCAGAGAGATTTGAAGAAAGCAGGCTGGCTGGAGCAGTCTGCAATCATAGTCCAAAAGAAGGAACAATGGCTGAGCAACCCACCAGAAGGGGTTTCTCACCAGTGATGTATACACGTGTACTATACGGTGAGAGCCCGTGAGGTCGGGAGAAGGCAGCGAGTGAGAGGAGCTGTGGGAAGTCCCAGTGCATCCTCACCCTCTAGCGACCTGCAAAGTGAGGGTTTCCCCAGGAGTCTGTGCAAGAGCTCTGACACACACCTCACTGGAAAACCAGAGTTCGGGGATCTGACCGACAAGAGGCATCAGCAAACTAACATAAAAACAATCCTGCCCTTTCTTTTCTGCATATTCATCAAGGACAACTCTGAAAAATCTAGGTACAAACTTTAACAGAGGAGGAAGAGGAGCAAACACGTGACCATTCTTCCTTCCCAGTCTAGGTAGTGAGGGTCAGGCTGGCTCTGTAAATGCGGAAACCACTTTGAAATGGATATGGCATTGACTTTGATTTAGACTGGACTTGAAATTTTATATCTGAAATTGAATCTTAATTACTGGTATGGGACTGTTGTTTCAATAAAATGCAGCTGCAGAGCTGTAGTCTCTGTCTAATAACCCCTAAAGGCATAGGAGTGGGAGATTTTACAGAGCATGGATGAAAGAAATAATTGGAGGAAAAATAAATGCTTTAAATAAGTATGCTGTTGAGTTAGGACTGCTCCATATACTGGTTTTAGAAAGAAGTAATGAGGTAGTTGATAAAGAACTTAAGACAGTATGTGGCACATAGTTAGGGTTCAAGAAATGTTAGTTGCTTTCATACTTGTTGTTATTTGAAGGGCAAATATCAAATTTCTGTGTAATCCAAAATGGGAAGGACTGTATTGAATAGTAACAATGGAAAATTACAAAGGCAAAGACCAAAGAGCCATATTTCAGGCATCACATAATAAACATTCTGAACTTGAATAGAAGAGTTTTTCATAGATCCTTTAATTTTAGGTTCCTGTTATTCTAAGTGTAAATTATTTTTCTATATAAGAAAAAAATCTGTGCTTTTCTGCAAATTAAATAGACAATCCAACTCTTCTTATTTTTTTTTTAATTTAAAGAAACATAGATTATTATTTTTATCCCCTAAGAACATCCACTATTAAATCAATATCATCCATCCTTTTGGTTTGGAGTATTAGCTGCCTTTATCAAATGCAAATCATAAAAACTTGGCTGTCAGTATTCATTCTCTGATGGCTCGTTCTTCATCTTGGAAAATGGTAGTGACATAAAATGAGTGAATTCTCACTATAGTACAGCTAACACAGTCTGGCAAGGGACTGACTTTTATGTAATAGTAACTACCTCTCCTTTGCACTAACTTATTTTGAGTTTCTGCATAAAGGCTATTTTGACAACAACAAAACAGATCAGAGGATAAGCAAAGTATTTCCTTTTTTTAGGCAATTGTCATTGTGAGAAATGAAAAATTTTCTGTCTCCTGACTCAGAGAACAAAGCACTTCATTCCAGACTTGAAGGAGAGTAGCTCCATACTTACATCTTGATTGGTCATCTCCCAGTAGGGTCTTTCCCCGTAAGACACAACCTCCCACATCACGATGCCATAGCTCCAGACATCACTGGCAGAGGTAAACTTTCGGAAAGCTATAGCTTCTGGGGCAGTCCATCTGATTGGAATTTTGCCTCCCTAAAATTGAAAAAGAATAAAAGAATTACCACATACTTCAAATGACTCTCAGGTTATTGTTGCCTCACTAGAAAGATCTGGAAAGAGATGTAGCATTTTTAAGTGAATCTGTTTGACAGCATGCAGTCTCTTTTCACATATCTCAGGCCGTAAGCACTTGTAGGCTGACTACTAATTGGCTGTCCGGAAGGTTTCTGGTTTAAATTCTGTTTGACTACTGGAACACATACAGGACCCACATCTCAATTACAGTATCATGATGACAGCTCGATGAGGGAAAAGCGGCAGTCAAGCAAATCAATAAGGTATATTTTCATGACTTTCTAACAGAGAGTAAAGGACTGAAATTCCCAGGGCATTGTTTTTTTTGTTGTTGTTGTTGGTTTTTTGTTGTTGTTTTTTGTTTTTTGTTTTCCTTTAACATAGGAATTATAAACGGGAAATCTTGGTTGCTGAATGCAACCCTGAGAGGTTTAACAGTTAATAAGACAAGCGTGAAAATCACGTATAGTTATATTGTCCCCTATCACTGTGCAATTTCTTTTAGACTGGACTTCACTGATTTTCTGCCAATGTATTTTTGTGTTTGTTGTGTTACAGACTGTTTTTATTTTCATTTAAGAGATAGATCTCTCATTTAATTTAACCATATTAAAAATTATGGCAATTAGATTTTGGGGAAAACTTATGACATTATCAAGTTTGGAATTTTTTAATAGTAAAAAAAACTGGTTCTTTTTCTCTTAGTTCACAAAATAAACACTTCTATATCCTGCAGGCAAACTCAGGAAACCAAACATTTCATCCACAGGCAAAAATATATTTAAGGGGGAAATGCATAGGCTTTGAATATTTTCATATAAAAAAGATTAAGATTAACTTATGCCTTCCCATTTTGCAGAGAGGATATAATTTAACACTAGCAAAAAATGGAACTTAAGTTGCTCTTTATGAATCAAAGTTTCAAGACATGGGGAAATAACAGTTTGATGTAATGCTTGAAGTTGTTCCATGAGCTGAGGTTAATTTGAACTATTCAAACTATGTTTAAATTATTTGTCCTTTATATATATATGGTACCACCACTTTAAGAAGACTTTCCTGATACATACTTTTGTTAATTAAACATTCAAAGATAAGATCACATCATTAGGCATGGCCATGTGTCATTGGGATATCTATAATATGTTCTCACTTTTCCTTTTAAAATCATAATTTGTTGATTTACTTCAAACCTCAGCCTAGGATTTTTCCTCTGGTCCTCTGACCATCATATCTGACATCACTATTATCTGAAGTTCCCTTATCTTCTCATCTCTCCGTATATGGATTTTCCATAAACTGATCTCACCGCTCATTTCAGAGGAGTAGGTCTTGCGGGTCTCAGGAGCTCTGCCTCCGTTCCCCTCTCCCCAGCATGATACACTGACAGAGACCTTGACAAATCTATTTTATGCATTTAACCAAGATACCAACCAATCACAGTGGGAATGGACTTTTCTATAACCTCCTTCTTGCTTAGGCTAAGTTTATTAAGTGTAGCTCTAATCCCAAGAGAATTCTTAATTGAGGTTTTATTCAAGGCAAATAATGACAATGATAATTAGGTCTAGAAGAAGAGGGATATTCTACCAATTAATTTATTGATTTATTAAGCTAACGATTAGAGGGCTTTGTTTGCTTAGATAAATTACTCTTGATTTTCAGTATAGTACAGTCCCTAAACATCCATGAGTCACAAAGCAACACTGAAAAAAATGAAAACAAAAACAGCCTTATAATCTATGATAAAAGTTTATTCTTAGGCTATGAATAGAAGTCATTTTTTAAAAATTGAATTAAATAAACAAATGTGTAATATATCTATCTTAAGAATGTGAGATGCCAAAAGTGTTCTTCTGTATTGAAACAAAAGTTAACCAAATCTTATAATGAAAAAGATACAATGAAAAATATTTCTAGCTTCACAAGGAGTTGGAACATTAAGGATATCTAATTTCATGTTTTCTTGACACTGAAAAGATTTAGAATGAAAATAAGGGATTCAAACTCAAAACGTGCAATACACAGACTGCCCAGAAAATTCTGTTGTACCAATACCCATAGTTTGCCAGCAGAAAAGAATCGTTGGGTACATACCATATTGATTCAGGAAGCAATTACTTTGCTGGAAAAGGATGTTGATTTATGCTAATTATGACAACATGAGTTAGTGACCAATTTTCCATAGATGTGAGCTTAACAGTTAATATAACATGTCAGGGAAGTAATTAGGCATTAAAATACCTCCAGTAAATCAAAACTTTTTGAAGGAATAGTTCTTTTATTTCGTATCATGTGAGTCCTTAAAAGGTAGGTTTAGCTATTTCTATATTTGTTTTATAAATGCAGACACTATAGTGCAGAGAGTTTAAGTTATCCAATAATGTTATACATGATTATATATTCATATATATATAATATTAATTACTTTTAATGTAGGAGATTCTCTCTTTAACTTTCTCTTTTACATTTAAAACTCTGAATAATTTATATATTGTTGTATTCACTCTGAATCTAAAGTTTTTCTTTTTAGTATCTGTAGGAAGAAAAATGAATTATTGTGCCCCAGAAAGTGAATGCTTTCAGTTTAATATATAAATTTGCTTATATTCAACAAGTAGAATTGTCAGATTTTTTATCGCCCCCCCACCATTCCTTTCTCTCTCTGTCTTCCTATGTGAGAAGAATGTCCTTTTTACTATTTCCTTTAAAAATCTTTAAAAATTAATTGTCTCTCATCTATTGTGTCAGAAATGCATTCTGTTAGTTCTTACCCTCGTGGTGTAGGCTGCCTCAGGATCATCTTCTAACACCCTGGAAAGTCCAAAGTCAGACACTTTGCACACAAGGTTACTGTTGATTAAGATGTTTCTGGCAGCAAGGTCTCTATGCACGTAGCCCATGTCAGAAAGGTACTTCATTCCTGCCGCGATGCCTCTCAGCATGCCAACAAGCTGAATCACAGTGAACTGCCCGTCGTTTTTCTATTAAAATGATGTAGAAATATTAATCCAGCAACAACAATCACTGGGGGGACATTTAAAAGGATCTTCCTTCAAGCCCCAAATTAATACTCTCACCAACCTCATATGCAATTTGTGTCTGAAGGAGAATGGAAAAAATTATGAAATATATCATTAACTTTGTAACACAGATCAGTCCTCTGCTTAGTCAAAGCCAACAAGGCTTTGAAAGCCCTTGTCAAAAATTTCAGTTAGTGGCCTAACAAGCATTGTAATTTCTTTATTCTCAGTCGTCAGAGGAGTACGTTCATCCCTCCAACCTAGTGCCTACCTTAGATGAACACTGTGTCTTTTTTGAGGTGCTTTGAGATAAGCTAGCAGGATAGGCACACATTGGGTTTAAAAAAAAAAAAAAAAAGAAGAAGAAGAAGAAGAAGAAGAAGAAGAAGTGGCCGGAGGAGATAAAGGAGATTCTTCAGGAGCACGTAAGAGGAAGAGGATGGAGCAATGACCAGGACATTAGTGTTTCTCAGCAGCTTGCTGACTTTGTCAGGGGCTCTGGACTTAGCACAGGCACACAGCATAACGCCCAACTAATGATTATTTTGAAAAGTAGGAATAATATGGCCTTAAGAGACTAGAGAACTTGAAGATATGTATAAGAAATTTGGTAACAGAATCTGGTAGAGACTGGAGATTAGAAGAAAACTTGGTCTGGTCAGTCGACTGCCATCATCAATGCACAGGACCCTGGAATTATCCCCAGAAAGGCCATTGTCCCATCACTTTGCCTAATCAATGGTAGCAGATGCCATATGAAATGTGAAGAAGTAAAAGCCTATAGCTTTAATCAGACATGCAAATATGTTACCTTGTCTGGCACAAGACATAGGGTAGTAATACAGTGAGGTGCCAACCATAAAATTTAGACACTTGTAGGTAAAAAGAATCTTTTCCTGCAACCCAGAAGATCTGACAGCATTAGTGATACTGTTACTACGTGGCCATTCTTCTTGTACGAAGAGTGGCTGGCTCTCAGATGGATTACAAGCGTATTTGACCTCCTCATCAATACAGATGGTTTACATGGACCTTAGACATTTTTTTCTTGATACTAGATACTCTGAGAAAGTTAGGTACTTGTAAAAAATCTTCTTCTTTTTTTTACCCCTTTCCTTTTCTTTCCTTCTGTCCTTCTTCCTTCCTTCCTTCTTCCTTCCTTTATCACCTCTTTCTTTCATTTTTTGGAAGGCAATTTAACATACATTTAAATAAAGTTGTAGGGACATACGAATTAGATTTGTTTAAGTTTCTGGAAAGGGAAATTTACAAACCAAATTTTATTTCTTGAAGTATAACTATTCTGACTCCAGATATTTCTTTTGATTTAAAAACTCTAAAGTGGCTCAAATTCAACTTCAACATCACAGGCAGCATACAAACAACACTTCATTTGAGTAATTAAACGTGTTTCAAACCTACCTTTAAAAATGTATCTAAGGATCCGTTTTCCATGTACTCTGTCACTATCATCACTGGTTTGCCTAGAAACAAAACAGCGGTATGAACTGCAACTTTTTGATTTTGCATTCTTATCTTGGAAAAGTTTACTGGAAGGTTTAATTTTTGTCCAAACTATATATATTCTTTTAAAAAGTGTCCTCTTCAAATAGCAAGTAATTTTGTGACATGATGTTATCTTACTGTAATGGGTGGGGCTAATGAGAAGAAAGTATCAGAAGAATAATAACATTGGCATTTCAGATATGATAATACATCATTTTCAATATTAAAATCAATTCGTGTCAAAATAAGTTTGATGATGCATTTTATTTTAGAGGTAATGGTAAAGCATTGTGAATGTATTTTCTTTTCCACAATTCTGAACAAAAACTCTTGTGCCATTTAACTGTACTACTTAAGAATCCTTAACTATATGTTGTATTTTCCTAACTTTCTTTCTATATTCTTGTAACTCTTTTCTTCATGACTACTTCTCTTTTTCTCCTTTGTCACACACACAATCTCTATCAATCCAAATATTTTCATCTTTCAGAACTCTGTTCTAATTCCTCTTGCCATCTGGAAACTTCTCTTGCAATCATTGTTTCCTCCCCCTTCCACGTCTGGTACAGAAGTATAAGCTACAATGTCGGCTGGACAGACTCCAGAGTCACACTGCCTGACTTTGAATTCCAGAACAATCACTTACTATGACATAATCTTGGGCAAGTCAATTATTAGCTCTGTGCCTCATTTTTCCCATCTGTAAAATAAGGGTGTTAATGGCACCTACCCCGTAGAGCTTTGGTGAGCATTCAGCAAGTCACAGGGTCATGCAAGTCACTTACAGAGCAGCCTATCACTTAGAATTTGTTGGTTAACTTTCTTGCTGGATACAAGTTGGCTAAGAAAATAGATCATATTTTATTCTCTATAAAATTATGGTATCTTTGAATATAACATATCTGTGATACAAAATGAAAAATACAAGATCAAAAGCCCTCCTTTATATGAGAATATATCTAAAACATGACTATTAGTTTTATCGCCCCATATTCACCTTTTTAAAAAGATTTTATTTATTTATTTGTCAGAGAAAGAAGAAGCCAGTGAGGACAAGCAAGGGGAGTAGCAGGCAGAGGGAGAAGTAGGCTCTCTGCTGAGCAGGGAGCCTGATGCAGGACTCATCCCAGGATCCCAGGATCATGACCGGAACCGAAGGCAGAGGCTTAACTGACTGAGCCACCCAGACGTCCCAAACCTCACTATATTTTAAAACTTGTCCCTTTACTATTTAATAAAAGCATGCCACATAAAATTTGTATTAATTTATTTTGAGGTAAGTAAAGAGATCTTATGTCAGAAAAATCTATCTCATAGGTCTATTAATAAACTTTATGTATTAGGAGGGAAAACAATGCTCATACATTCAGGAAATGCATTATAATTAACGTAATGACATTCTCCAGAAGGACAGCTGTATTTTTCTTAAGTGAATAATTCAAGTCGTAGAATTAGAACCTGCATATTTATTCATACAACACTATCTAGAAGTGCAAATAAAGCTATAGAAAGTTAGACAATTACATATGAAGAAGAAATAACTAGGAAGAAAAAAAGATTTTTCATTTCAACGTCAAGATCACTTAAAACTTACTATTTCAAATAAAAACATAGGACTGTCTAATTTCTTACTCAGATAATTCTTTTTTTTAAAATACTTCAGAAGAAATATTCTTTTAATGGAATGTGATAAGTATATTATAAAGCCAAAGACACATTTCTCTCTTCCTCTTTAATGTTTATAAAAGTAATTTAAAAATTTGTCTAAATAATTCATTAGGCATATGTTTGAAGATGCCTACATTCGGTGAAACACTACACGTGCAGAGAATGAGCACTAGAGGTGGGGATGTCATTTGAGCTGAACCTTGAAAGCTTCAGGGGTCACTCATGTCATAGAAGGAGGCAGATACTCCAGCAAGAGGAGGTGGCATGTGCCAAAGCATCTCGTCATGAAGGAACCCATCAAGTTCAACTATGGCTAGAACCCTGGATTTTCACTCCGTCCATCCAGAAGTGATAGGAGATGAGTTGGGAAATACTTTTTTAAGAAACCAACCGGCCCACAATAGTAAAATAAATAAATAAATAAATACAAATCATAATGTATTTGTAAATGCCTGTCACAGCACAACAGAGGAAAAGATTGTAATTTCTTCTTTAGTAAAGTACAATATAAGATCATAAATGAAGAAACGCTTGTAATGTAACTTTAATGACACTGCCACACCCATTTTAATTCCGACAAATTTTGAAACAGACAAAGTTCCGCTTAGACCCTTTTGGTCCAATTCTCACATGCAAGAGCCCCTTTCAGATTTTCATTAATGTTGAAGCTCATTTTCTTTTTGAAGTCCACAACTAATGTACCACCCCAAGGGTGAAAGCCAGAATTTCTGACAACTGCTGTGGCACACGCATCTGTGTATTTGAAGTTACGCCAGACATAATGCTGGAGTATCCCGGAACGGCCTGCTGTAGTAGACATGACCCCTTCATTTGCCTGATTTCAGGAACTCAGAAGTAACGGGGAGGAAGCTGAGTTGGGCAATCCTGGCAGCAGCTTTTCACCAAACACTAACGAAGTATTTCAATAAATGTACAGCTAATAGAGCCAAAGAGTATGTACTGGCTACATACTCATATGTACTGACCCAACTAGAAGGAGGCCTACATTTTCTGGAATCTGCCTCGGTAGCTCTTTTATTCCGACTTTGACCCCTATTTACAGAAATCCATTGGGGAAATTGTCATAGTATAACTGGAATTGAAAGAACTGATTTCCCGCAGACATCCAGAGAAGATCGTGTTAGTTTCCCCTCATCGGCGCCCCTTCGTTTGTAGTGTACGGTAGATGTCTTGTCCATCAAACTGAAAGCTGATCCGTGGTTGTCATTACTCACTCTGCCTCAAGTCCTTCATGACTGCAGCAACTTCCCTACAGCTCTACTCACAAAAGTTTCTGTTTTCTCCTATTCCCTTTTTCTAGAATTTCTTCATTTTATCTACCTTTAATTTGCTGGACTCCTTTTTTTAAAAATTTGTCTTTTTACCATTATGGGTCCATGGTACATATTTAGTACGGCTCACCCAAGTTCTATTGAGCAGAAATTGGAAAGAATTCCCATGTAAGAATATTTTTTTCTTTGATGAGTTTGTTTCTTAAAAATACAAATTTTCATAGCATGCTTTTATTAAATAGTAAAGGGACATTTTTAAAATATAGTGAGGTTAATGTGGAGTGATAAAACTAACAATCATGTTTTAAATTCACTGAGCTTAGGAGAAAAAAATGTATGCTGTAAAGCGAATGAACTGATCAGAAGATTTATTGACATTGAATAATATACATGTGGATAGAAAAAGATAAATGATTACTTTTTAGGGAAATGGGCACCTGGCATTTGTTCTATAAGATTTCTTAGATTTCATCACCTAGTTTTAAAAGTCAGATTAATTATTTATGACAGTGTAGGTTGTAATGTCAATAACAAAAATATTTGAGAAGTGTGATAGGGAACTAAAACACTTCTCACATTTTAGAAAATGGGAGAAAAGTAATTAAAATGAATATTTGCAAACAAGCACGATCTTCTTTTGTTGACAAGAATAAGACACTTTAGGACCCATTCGATTATTTTTCATGCTTGAGTCATTTTAATGCTAATTATATTTAGTTTGGCTTATGTTTTGTCTCAGTTTGTGCTAGCCTGCAAGAATGACATAGCAATAATTAATGTGGCTTACTCTAACCCTCGTAAATTCAATAAAACTGTATAAATCATTTTCCATTATCCAGCTCGAAGTACAGACAAAAAATAGATTTGCCAATAATTTTGAAAGCATATTATCAAAAATCTATATAAAACGAGCTCATAAAGCATGTCAAAACATGATTCTAATCACAGAGTAGAGTTTTTATATTACTTTATATTATTTACCAAAGACCTAGCCCAGGCAGAGTCTAAGTAGAAATAGAAACATATTTATGGAATTCACCACCCTTTTATTTTAATCATTCAGTATTGGTGATCATAAAAGAGCTACAATTTGTTGATTTATTGGATTTTCACTCTTCACAAGGCACAGTGTTATTTTTAATTTTATTAAATTCCATAATAGTGGCATTACAGAATACATTTTTCAGAAACAGAAAAGTCAGGCTTAAAAAGATTCAATATATGATGGGTTGGTGAGTGCAAATGTATAAGAAACGAAGCTGGGAATCAAATTTATGTTCATCTGACTATAAAAGCTATTTTCCTTTCCTCCACACTACGATACCTATAATTTCAAAATACTTATTTTAAAGTTTAAATTTTATCTTATTTATTTTATTTTATTTAAATTTTATTTTAAAACCTCACAATTATTTACTCTTTTCTGTTAATACAAGCTTGGTAATCATGACCATGGCGTGACGAACTATCCAATTATTAATGGCAGATCCGGTAGGAAGTCAGCTTCTCTCAGTAAATAACACAACCTCACATATAACCTTACATATGACTATTACTTATATATGTTCTGATTGTTCTGAAGTTTTCACACTTGAAAATGTAAGAAGAAAGATACATCTGAGGTTATTTTACTACAATAGAAAAACTGAGTTTGTTTCCTTACTCTGCGACTTTTTTGGTGTTAACGTCCATCACAAATCCAAAAGAAGAGAGAATATGCCACCCCTGGCAAAGCAGTCCTTTTCCATAAGATACCTCAAAGTTAGGTGAAACAAACTTCGGGGAATGTGGCTCTAGCCCTTGTTTTTCATAGCATTGCCCCAACAGCCTGGAGAGCTGTCATCCATTGGGAGCATATTAGAAATGCATAATCCCAGGGCTCGATCTGATCTAATGAAACACATTCTACATTTTACAATTTCCTCAGGGGCACATACAATTTTGAGAAACAGTAAACTAGGCCACATCACAGAAGTTGCAGCTAAATCTGGGCTTATTTTATTTGCATTGATTCCAGA